AGCAATGCATGGAAGGTGAAGAAGACAACAGAATAGGAAGGACAACAGACCTCTTCCAGAAAATTAGAAACATTGGAGGTAAATTTCAGGCAAAAATTGGTATGATAAGAAACAAAGATGGCAGGGACCTAACAGAAGCTGAAGAGATCAAGAGAAGGTGGCGAGACTATACAGAACATCTGTATAGGAAGGATAATAATATTGAGGATAGTTTTGACGGTGTGGTGAATGAATTAGAACCAGACATCCTGAGGAGTGAGGTTGAATGGGCCTTAAGAAGCATTACTAACAACAAGGCAGCAGGAGATGACGGGATCCCAGCTGAACTGTTTAAAATCTTAAAAGATGATGCTGTCAAGGTGCTGCATGCCATTTGCCAGCAAATATGGAAAACACAAGAATGGCCATCAGACTGGAAAAAATCAACTTATATCCCCATACCAAAAAAGGGAAATGCGAAAGACTGCTCAAACTTCCGTACAGTGGCCCTTATTTCTCATGCCAGTAAGGTAATGCTCAAGATCCTGCAAGGAAGACTCCAGCAATACATGGAGCGAGAGTTGCCAGATGTTCAAGCTGGGTTTAGAAAAGGTAGAGGAACGAGAGACCAAATTGCCAATATCCGCTGGATAATGGAGAAAGGCAGGGAGTTTCAGAAAAACATCTACTTCTGCTTCATTGACTATTCTAAAGCCTTTGACTGTGTGGATCATAATAAATTGTGGCAAGTTCTTAGTGGGATGGGCATCCCAAGCCACCTTGTCTATCTCCTGAGGAATCTGTACAAGGACCAAGTAGCAACAGTCAGAACTGACCACGGAACAACAGACTGGTTCAAGATTGGGAAAGGCGTACGGCAAGGCTGCATCCTTTCACCCAACCTTTTTAACTTGTATGCAGAACACATCATGCGATGTGCGGGGCTGGATGAATGCAAAGCTGGGGTGAAAATTGCTGGAAGAAACATTAACAACCTCAGATATGCAGATGACACCACTCTGATGGCCGAAAGCGAGGAGGAGCTGAGGAGCCTTCTAATCAAGGTGAAAGAGGAAAGCGCAAAAGCCGGGTTGCAGCTAAACGTCAAAAAAACCAAGATTATGGCAACAAGAATGATTGACAACTGGAAAATAGAGGGAGAAACCGTGGAGGCCGTGACAGACTTTGTATTTCTAGGTGCAAAGATTACTGCAGATGAAGACTGTGGCCAGGAAATCAGAAGACGCTTACTTCTTGGGAGGAGAGCAATGTCCAGTCTCGATAAAATAGTAAAGAGTAGAGACATCAGACTGGCAACAAAGATCCGCCTAGTCAAAGCCATGGTATTCCCTGTAGTAAACTACGGATGTGAGAGCTGGACCTTAGGGAAGGCTGAGCGAAGGAAGATCGATGCTTTTGAGCTGTGGTGTTGGAGGAAAGTGCTGAGAGTGCCTTGGACTGCGAGAAGATCCAACCAGTCCATCCTCCAGGAAATAAAGCCCGACTGCTCACTGGAGGGAAAGATACTAGAGACAAACTTGAAGTACTTTGGCCACATCATGAGGAGACAGGAAAGCCTAGAGAAGACAATTATGCTGGGGAAAGTGGAAGGCAAAAGGAAGAGGGGCCGACCAAGGGCAAGATGGAGCTGGGGGTGGTGACGGCTGACAGGGAGCTCTGGCGTGGGCTGGTCCATGTGGTCACGAAGAGTCGGAGACGACTGAACGAATGAACAACAACATAGCATTTATATACTGCTTTTCTCACCCCGAGGGTGACACAAAGTGGTTTACACATAGATAATGGCAAAAATTCAATGCTTTCAACTACAACAGTAAAACCACACTTTAAACATAAATCATATTAAAAATAGTACATCAGCAAATATCAAAACAGTTATTAAAACCATAAAACAAACCCCCCTGTTACTCCACTGGCTGCCAGTCTGCTACCAAGCACAATTCAAAGTGCTGGCTTTAGCCCAGTTTACCTGTCCAAATGTATCTCCCTGTATGAATCATCACAGAGGTTAAGGCAGGGGTCCTCAAACTAAGGCCCGGGGCCCGGATGCGACCCTCCAAGGTCATTTACCCGGCCCTCGCTCAGGGTCAACCTAAGTGTGAAATGACTTGAAAGCACACAACAACAACTCTACTCATCAGCCAAAAGCAGGCCCACACTTCCTATTGAAATACTAATAAGTTTATATTTGTTAAAATTGTTCTTCATTTTCATTATTGTGTTGTTTTTAAGTGGTTTTGCACCACAAAACAAATAAGATATGTGCAGTGTGCATAGGAATTAATTAACTTTTTATCAAATTATAATCCAGCCCTCCAACAGTTTGAGCACTGTGACCTGGCCCTCTGTTTAAAAAGTTTGAGGACCCCTGGGTTAAGGTCTTCTGGGGAGGTCCTGGTCTCAATCCCACCTGTTTTGCAAGCATGGTTGGTGGGAACGAGAGACAGAGCCTTCTCAGTGGTGGCCCCTTGGCTCTGGAACACTTTCCCCAGTGAGGTTAGATCAGCACCCTCTCTCCTGGTCTTCAGAAAGAAAGACAGGGTTATGGGGCCAAGCTTTTGGCCCGTAAAGTAATGCAGTACAATGAAATAAATATGGAATATGTGCCATTGACAATTGGAATGGCCCAGTCTACAAATCTGGATTATGTAATTTCAGTGTTTATATTGTGTTTTAATTCTATGTTTTCATATTTAAATGTTCATATTTTATGTTAATGGTCTTACTGATTTTAATGCATAGTTAGTTATATGTTTTGGTTTAAATTTTATCCTTCGGTTTTATGTATGTTAGGCATTGAACTTGGCCATTATTATGTTGAAAACCATTTTGAGTCCCCCCTGGAGTGAGAAAACTGGTATAAAAATGCAGTAAATAAATAAATAAACGAACTTTGGCACATGGCAATGCATTTGTCGGACCTCTTTAATGTGACCTCGGAGTGCAACCATAATTATAGCCAACTAAATAATTGGTTGGGAGCACCAATTATTATTGGAGAGGCTTTGTGGACCTTTATCATGCTGTCATTATCCTAGAAATGATTGGTTGGTATCAGGAGATTATTTGTAGGTGTGCGTTTATGCATGTATTAACACCCAGAACAATACGTGTCTGGATTACAGCCAGATGTAGTGCACAAAGAATACTGTGAAGGCCAGAACGTGTCTTCCAGTTTCTCTAAGATTATGGTTTGAGAAACACCATCCAGTTAACTTTCAAAAATGGGTTTGGGGAGGCTTCTTGTGACCCAAACCTATCCAGAGTTAGTGTTAGCAAAACCCATCTATTTACTGCAAGTGTTGTTCAAGGTTCCTTGGTGTATTTTGTTTGTAAACAATTAAAGACTATGGTTTATCTCTAGTGATTTCTCCCCGTTTTTTCTGCTCTCCATTTCTTCTGCAGTAGCCGTAACATGTGTTTATACTTGCTATCTTAATACTATTCAGAGTAGACAACTTTGTTAATGTCATCCTTAGAGAATTCTCTGTTCCGGGTGGGAACAAGTCACTGACACAGTGCAGCAATCCATGTTTAACAGGAACTGCCACACATATAAACAACCAGATTTAATAGCTAGATACAAGAAGAAGACTTCCATAAATGTACCACTCCTTTATCTTTTTTTTCCATGACAGTGGGCTGGGAAAAATGGTGCATGATGGAGTTACAATGAATTATATTGTTTTGTTTTGTCTGTGTGTTGATTTTTCAGATCAAGCAAAAGAAGCCAGAAATACTCCCAGATTTAAAACTGGAAGCTGAAGAGAAGTTTAAAACCCTGGAAAGCACAAACACTGACCTTGATCTGCAAAGCGACGAGAAAATTGTCCATTTTAAGGATCAGCTCAGGAAGATGAAGAATCAGTGTAAGTCTTTGCTTTATTGCTATCACTCCAAGTACAAAACTGGTCATCCCCTTATTTATCTAGACATTAAATTTTTAGCACAATTGGAATTCAATTATCCACCTATCAGCCTGGAAATGCAAACTTTTAAGACTGTAATTGACTATATCAGGCATGGGCAATTTGGGATCTCCAGATGTTTTGGACTTCAACTCACACAATTCCCAACAATCTACCAGCTGTTAGGAATTGTAGGAGTTGTAGTCCAAAACACTCGAAGGACCGAAGTTTGCCCATGCCTGGTCTATATCCTCTGGTCAGCATGGCTAGCCTCACATTCACAGAAGGGAGTGACCCTGGTGAACAGTAGTTTTTCAGAGAAGCATGTTCACTCGTCTTGCTCCTTTGCACTTTCGTGAAACCCAGACAAGTTTCCAGCAAACCAATAAATAATAAATACATTAAAAATAAAATAGAAATACTGGTCTCCTGGTAGACCTTATTTACTTAGGCGATCCCTCGTAGCTCGAGGATGATTGTCTTCCATATGTGGGGTCTTGGTAGGTGGCTGTGGATCCATATTCTTGATCCGCAAGTTCTCCTGCAGTGAGGACATCAGTTTCCAGATGGAAGGAGGTTCCGGTCAGGGTTGGCTTGACGTGCCTTCCTCTTGGCATGTTTCTCCCTCTGCCCTCTATTTATTCCTCTTTGAATTCTGCAGCACTGATGGTCACAGCTGACCTTCAGGGCTAGGACTTCCTAGTTCTTGGTGTCTGTGCCACAGTTGTCCTGGTAGACCACTTGAAAAGCCACTGTTTGAAGTAGTATGGATCTAGGAGTAGGTTTTCTTGCCCTCTTCTACTAATGGGTGTCAAACTCATACCTTGTCAGAACAAGAAGGGATGTTGGACTTAATTGACTGGAATGTGGCTCAGTTATTAGACAACAGCTGCCAGAGGATTTTTTCTGTTGTCCAGAAAAAAAAACACCCAATCCAAGTTTTGTTTCAGTTCCTAGTCTTCACTTCCAACCTCTTTTGAGACTAATGCAGACGTGGTCAAACTTCGGCCCTCCAGGTGTTTTGGTCTTCAACTTCCCCAATTCCTAAGAGCCAGTCGGCCGTTAGGAATTGTGGGAGTTGAAGTCCAAAACACCTGGAGGGCCGACGTTTGCCCATACCTGGACTAATGTCTATTCAGCTGAAAAGTATGCAATAAACATTGTATTTTCTTGCCTTCCAACTTGTTATTATTAAATCTGGGTTCTATATTCCTGATATTTAGAGGAAATAAATGTTGATTCTTAAAAGAAATGACATTTTCTGGTTTGGTCTGTGGCCAAAACAAATCAATTCATTCGGTTTCGTATTTCAGTTTCACTTAAATTATATTATTTATCATGTCGGAAGCAAATTGAGAATACAGTTATAAAAACCACAAACAAAGTTAAGAACTTGACATTATGCTAGATTTCTTTTGACCAGAAGCTGGCCACTTGGAGTGCCTCTGGTGTTGCTATAAGAAGGTCCTCCATTGTACATGTGGCAGGACTCAGACGACATTGTAGTAAGTGGTCTGTGGTTTGCTCTTCTCCACATTCACATGTCGTGGACTCCACTTTGTGGCCCAATTCCTTAAGATTGGCTCTGTATCTTGTGGTGCTAGAGCGCAGTCTGTTCAGCACCTTGCCCAGTCATCTGTGTGCCCAGGAAGGAGTTTCTCTTAACTTAAACTATGACACAATCATTGCTTGTGATAATAAAATAGAGTTTGTCGAAGGCTTTCATGGCTGGAATCACTGGGTTGTAGGTTTTTTTGGGCTATATGGCCATGTTCTAGAGGCATTTCTCCTGACGTTTTGCCTGCATCTATGGCAAGCATCCTCAGAGGTAGTGAAGTCTGTTGGAACTAGGAAAAAGGGTTTAAAATAGAGTTTGCTTCCATTGGCCTATTGCTGAAATGCATATTACTAGGGAATGAGTACGCTTTGTTGCAGAAAAGGTTAATGTGTTGTGAAAATAATAAAACGAGCATCTGTAGACATGTAGATGTCTGTATGGTTGACCTTTCGTTGTAAGATACATCAGCCCTGGAGGACCCCAACATACTTGTGACAGTTTGGGTATTGGCACAACTTGCGTCCCATGTCTCCCTCCTTGTTGTTCTCTGGATAAGTCATTTGTTTCCTCCAAACCTATGGATCCCTGGGTTTTGGCCCTGAGGTCCAACCCTTGCTGCACCTAGAACCATAGAATCATAGAGTTGGAAGAGACCTTGTGGGCCATCCAGTCCAACCCCCTGCCAAGAAGCAGGAAAATCACATTCAAAACACCCTCGAAAGATGGCCATCTAACCTCTGTTTAAAAACCTCCAAAGAAGGAGCCTCCACCACACTCCGGGGCAGAGAGTTCCACTGCTGAACAGCTCTCACAGTCAGGAAGTTCTTCCTAATGTTCAGATGGAATCTCCTTTCTTGTAGTTTGAAGCTACTGTTCCGCATCCTAGTCTCCAGGGCAGCAGAAAACAAGCTTGCTCCCTCCTCCCTATGCCTTCTCCTCACATCTTTATACATGGCCCTCATCATGTCCTCTCTGCCTTCTCTTCTGCATGCGTAAACATGCCCAGCTCTTTAAGCCACTCCTCATAGGGCTTGTTCTCCAGGCCCTTGATCATTTTAGTTGCCCTCCTCTGGACACATTCCAGCTTGTCAACATCTCCCTTCAATTTTGGTGCCCAGAATTGGACACGGTGTGATTCCAGGTGTGGTCTGACCAAGGACGAATGTGTTAGTTACGACGCACGCTGCCAAAGTTTAAATTAGGATTTTGTTCCCCATCAGTAGGTTGAGCTTGTACTTTCCATCCATTCTCATCTATGTAAACTGTGTGCCAGAATAATTCCTGTGATAATCTGCCCTGAATGAATAGATGAGACTTAAACGTATTATACAGAAGCTCAATTTTATTTTAATTCGTTGGTGGATTGTTTTCAGCACAAAAGACAACAATCAGGGATCAAGCCGTGATTTGCATTTTGCTCATAGGACTCATTGAAAGAGAACATTTGGTGCACTTAAATGCACAGCACTAAGTAATAAGCAGTTATTTTCTTGACTCTCTCTCACGGTGCCGGTCCTATTTGCATACATATATAATATAAATCTTGCTTCACATCCTTTTTTTTTCTTCCTAATGTTTGGAGGCGCTCTCCCTTTTATTTTTTATTTTATATGTATGCCATATTCTCTTTTTGATAGGATCATTTTAAAAGGATTAGGTAAGCTGTTTTCATTTTGTCACTCTAACAAATTGTTCCAGTTTCACAACCCAGGATGTGTTGCAATCCAAAGGAGACCTTTGCTTTAATCATGGAACTGTGTTGTTGGAAAATGCTTACAGTGTCTGTTCCCAGGTTTACAGCTTGTGAACATGAACTGTGTAACAATGTGGCATATTAAAATCCCTATGGCCTAATTCAGTAATTTTCAGCTCCTGCTCTGGGAAACGGCAGGGCTCCTTGGAAACTTGTCAAGGGGCTCTTCTTTGTGAGGACTGACAACGATGGATGGGAACTCTGCAAAAAAACGACAAACCGTCCAGTGCTATTAAACTTCCTCCAATATACATAACCATAGCAGTTTGCCTATGATTTATGGTGCCTCTCCAGTTAGGAATGTGAAAATAATTTCATTTTCAGTGCGTTTTAATACTCCCACTGACATTTTGTCCAGTTCCATATTGAAGTGCATGAGTTCACTGCCTTCATCATGCTTGCATTTTGCTTTAATGTGCACATTTTTTGACTGAAGTGTGACAATTGAAGGGAGATGTTAACAAGCTGGAATGTGTCCAGAGGAGGGTGACTAAAATGATCAAGGGTCTGGAGAACAAGCCCTATGAGGAGCGGCTTAAAGAGCTGGGCATGTTTAGCTTGAAAAAGAGAAGACAGAGAGGAGACATGGTGAGGACCACGGATAAATATGTGAGAGGAAGTCATTCCGGTCCCAATTCAAGGTGCAGGTGCTCACCTACAAAGCCCTAAACGGTTTGGGACCGCATCTCTGTTTACGAACCCGCACGCTCCCTCCGATCATCTGGAGAGGCCCTGCTCTCGATCCCACCTGCGTCGCAGGCGCGTTTGGTGGGAACGAGGGACAGGGCCTTCTCTGTGGTAGCCTCCCGACTCTGGAACTCCCTCCCCAAGGACATCAGACAAGCCCCAACATTGGCTGTCTTTAGGAAGCGCCTGAAGACCTGGCTGTTCCAGTGTGCCTTTCCAGAATAGGAAACTCCTGGTTTCAAGTCCCAAATGCATCTTGCTAGAGATTCAGGATTATCTGCACATTGCACCTACCCCAAATACCTCTACATATTACCTGTCACGACAGCACTTTTTAAATTTTGTCCATTACATTTGGCCCGGCCTTTGGTTTTAATTGCGTCACGGTGTCATTGTTTTATTGTTTTGCTTGATGTTTTATTATTTGCTTATGAGTTTATTGTGTATTGTATGTTGTTGTTGTCGGCGGCCTTGGCCTTTGTAAGCCGCATCGAGTCCTTCGGGAGATTTTGTGCGGGGTATAAATAAAGTTAATAATAATAATAATAATAATAATAATAATTATTATTATTATTATAGGGGAGGAGGGAGCAAGCTTGTTTTCTGCTGCCCTGGAGACAAGGATACAGAACAATGGCTTCAAGCTACAAGAAAGGAGATTCCATCTGAACATGAGGAAGAACTTCCTGACTGTGAGAGGTGTTCAGCAGTGGAACTCTCTGTCCCAGAGTGTGGTGGAGGCTCCTTCTTTGGAGGCTTTTTAACAGAGGTTAGATGGCCATCTGTCGGGGTTGCTTTAATGCTATTTTCCTGCTTCTTGGCAGGGGGTTGGACTGGATGGCCCATGAGGTCTCTTCCAGCTCTTTGATTCTATAAGTCTATGACTGCTTTTTTCTTAAACTGGTCATTTTCATCTTTTTCCCTAATAGGCTAAAGTAAGCTTGTGCACATTTTTCAAATGCA